TATTGCTGCAATTTAGACTTGATCAACCGAACTGGTAATGGCTTCTCACAGGGTTGTTGCATTCACTCGTGATCAAACAGATGATAAATGCGGATTGATGCATTCAGTTAGTTACTAGGCACTGTTTTTTGGTGGTCCAGAACAAGGCTTAACGAGTTTTGCTAATAAGGAATATAAAGCGAAGAGGGGGAAGTTGATATTGTCAAGATGCAAAGTACCAGTTTATTTCATTTCCTCATAGAACGGGGAAACTGATGACCTGAAGATGATTTCTATCATGAATTTTGCCAATCATAAAATCAGACGGAAGATTAGCTTAGTCTACACATATAGGAAACTGTAAAGTTTTGAGGAAACATCAAAGCCAATAAGTTTGATCCTGCATTGATATCACTTAGAGAATCATTGAACACCACCACGGAGTACTAGACAGCTATTTCATCCAAGTGCTTGAGATTCATCGACACAACTCACCTACCACCAGGGTTCAGACCTAGGACATTTAGGTTACACAGCACGCTCGTAGGCCATTCAGCGACTCGGAGCCAACAAAATGACCTGTGAGTTGTCCAAAGTTAGCCTAGAGTACTAGTGAGAAGTCGTGAAACAGTGAGATACACACAGGAGTGGGGACATATACTCTCCAAGGATGACTCTGGCTTGTGCCAGTCTAGCAAGAAAAAGGGTATTTGATGAATCGGCGAAAATACTCTACAATATTTCTCAACTTTCAGGGGGGTGATTTACGTGCAGTGTTATTCACACTACAAGTGAAAACCAAAAAAATTGACAAAAGAGACAGTCTGCACTTCAAAAGAATATAGAAAGAACCAACAACAATGACGAACATCAATCACCATCAACAGTGGGAGGGAGGTTATAAAGCAGGCCACTTCTCTCACTTAACTGATCTGCGAAACATTGTTTCAACCACTGGTGATAGCACAGATGACGGCAGCGTGGAGGCAGTGATCGGAAAGGAAAAACAAACAAATGTATTCAGTATTCATGAGTTGGATCTTTAACACTTATATCAGTTAAAGACTTGCCATGCATATCACAAATGTTATTCCACACAGTCTGTCGCAGAATTTTCGTCAACAGCTATCCTTGTTCCACACTGAACATCATATGGTCAGGATGGCGATAGTGAGAAGATGGGTTGAAAGCTATTGGGTAATCGTGTAAACAAGCCTTGTAACCAGAAGTTCGTGCGTTCGAACCCCGGTGGGTGCGTAATGATGAGGAGTCCCAAGCCAGTAGGACGAAACGGTTGTCCAGTACTCCCAGGTTTTCCAATGGTTCTCTAACGGATGTCAGCTTATGATGAAATCCTGTAAACAAAAGGACTACAGAGGATAAACTGCGGTGAAGATATCCTACCATAGCCCTGTATTCAACTCTAAATGCAAAAGAGTAGATGTGATTGGCTTATCTTCAAAAGTTAGTATTTAGGCTAGCAAAATAAGCAATACTGTTAAACCAACATCGAGCTGTTTTTGGTCCAGTGGTATCGGAGGAAAGGAGGGAATAATGTAGTAAAATTTCATGTTTAGTGAATTCTTGATGAGATCTCGTTCTAGTAGTTCCAGACAATATCAAAAAATAACCCGACCGATAGCTGCTACCTTGACTTGGTAGTCACCCGGCTTGCATATTTCGATGACCCAACAACCTACACTGGCTGGAGCCAGTGTTCCTACTGCAGGTCCTACCATGCCAGGAAGGTTGTTAGGATAGCGAGTAGACTAAAAGCAGTTACCGGCATTGTTTTAGAATCTTCCTTACACTATGCTGGGGGTCTGAGGGCGAAGTCGTACTGCTGCGGAACAGGGGTGTAACATCATTGAGATGTTTCCCTCAGATGACCAGTATGCCAACCAGCTATGCTGTCTCTCCACTCCAGAGAGACGGCAGTAGAAAAGGTCGACCCCAAAACTTGTACATTCCGACTTACCCCACCTACGGTGGTCCTCGGCCGGCGACAAGCTTACTAATACGGAACCAATCCCAGAAATCAGTGCATACAGGCTGTGTGTGACCGGCCGGCCTCAAGCAGTTGTCCCCTGTGCTCTGCAGTCATGCAACACTAACCTTCTTTCTGTTTCAGCTACCCGAAGAATCAATCAACTTCCAGGGTGTGGACAGCCGGTAAGTAATAACCACACACACACTTCCGAAAGCACACGAAGCTTTCCTTTAAAAAACATAGCCATACAATTTCACTAGAGTTCCAACAACAACAATAAAAAGAACTGAATAGTTATTGATCAAATTCAGTATTCCCTCGTGCAGAAGGTAAATGAAGATGGATTGGCCAAAGACACAGACAGGGAAACCACCAATTCACAATTATATTGATGAAACTTCATCGTAGTCTCACCTTTTGAAACAAAGTTGTACAGATCAAAGTATGCGATCTGCATAATACCATAAACGGTATTGATTAGTTGGGATGAATTAGTCGCAAACCACCCACACATCAGCCGGTAGTGATTGGCAGCTAGCCAAATCACGTCGGGACAAGCTCATTAGTGGTGTACCCGGTTTCTCTCAGCTTGGAGAGCTGAACCAATTCAAACCACCTGATGGGAGTCTTCAAGTGTTATGAAGACATGATATGACTGCCCAACCCTCAAAGTGGAACTTAAATGACAAGAAACGAGTTGGTCAGTTGCGGAGATATCTGACAGGGATGTCAAAGAGAAACAAGTGTAATGATGATGGTGATAGTGATGTGCCACTGGGGCTCCGCCTTCCACTCGGTACCCAAGAAAAGAATATTAATAATAGTAATATAAGTTTGTTATGAGTTTCGATATTTTAGCGTTCCACCAAGAAAACAGTAAGTCCACTTGCCTTTTTCTAGTTTGCAACAAGAAATTATGGGAACAAACCAACAGACAAGAGCCGATCGCTGAACAGATATGCAGGAGAAAGTGAAGATAGATCAGGCACACATTAAGGAAGCCTCCGAATGACATCCCATGCAATGCAGACCATTGCTCGAGTGGAATCCAAATGGGAAACGACGAGTAGGTCGTCGGCGCGACAGTGACATGGAGGAGATCGTGTAAGGAAGAGATGAGAGAGTTAGGTCAATCGAGGACCAAGCTGAAGAGGTTGGCAGAAAACAGAACAAAAAGGAGGTGTGTTGTTGAAGCAAAGAATAATAATAATTTCTAGTTTGACTCTGTACAAACTTCAGCCATTTATTATTGTTGTTCCCTTTAGTTTCAAGTGGAGCATATAGCTTCGACAGTAAATCCCCGTCTTGTCCTGTTCTTTGAGGCCACATTTAAGCTGGTCCCACGATCGCTCATTATCTCTCATCTACTCCATGTCACTCTCAGACCCATCCCCAACTCGTTGCTGTCCAGTCAGGTTCCTCTTGAGTGATTGTCAGCATTGAGCGTGATGTCATTCGGCAATGTCTTCAGCGTGTGTCCAATCCATCTGCATTTTCTTCTGCATATTGCTTAATCAATAGATTATTGATTGGTCTATTCCCATAGTTTCTGTTTGCTAATTTTTTCCGGTCATTTTAAGTTTCACAAAAGTCGAATAAGGAACCCTTGAAAAAACCAGGGACTATTTCACGGCTGTCTCGCCATACTTTGAGAATGCCTAAGTGTATGCATCCATCAGACCGACAAAGGGGGACCTCAGGAGCTTCAGGTTACACAAAGGCGGAATTCGATAACCATCCGAGCAGTTCTACCTTTTGCTAATTCACAATAGGTATAGAGAGAACGATCGATGGTCAATATCCTCGTGACTATTTTTCCTTACACTCGACGACTTGCTAGACCCTGCCAGTTATGTCTCCCCCACCCACCCCCCGCCTTGGAGAAATTCAGATAACTTTCACCCATAGAACTCAGTTACCAGTGATAATTAGTATTGCCTAACTTTATGTGCCTTTTTTAATCGGTGGATGGTGACTAGCAGTGGAGTCCAAGATGAGCATTTCGTCCTATTTTGGACTCGTCATCTGGATGTACCTGCATTTCTCAGTGAGTGATGATGTTCCTACTGAGGCTCAAACCTATTGCCCCTAGTTTCAAACGCCAAGGGGTTATCCACTAGACCACTTGGACCAGGAGAACCACCTCTGTGCAACGGGTCATATTGATTTAACTGAATTTTAGATTTTCCCGTCGACTGATTAGAACGAAGTGCTCAGTCTCAGGTGGACATGTCGACTTCTTATCCAGATACTTCAACGGTCACCATCCACCAATTAAATACTAACTAAATGCTCGGACATCATCGAGGCATCTGCACAAGAAGCCGATAAGTCAACTTGAGACCAAGAGAGCACTTTTATCCAATCAATCGATGGCAACATCTCAAATTCAATTAAATTTATGTGACTTTATCAAAAAGTGAGTATTTTATCGATTGTTCTTCTGCATTCGCGAAAAAAAAAAAGTAAACATTTTCTTAAGTATAAGGTTTTTCGGATTTTTTGATTTCTTTTTATAACTTAACTGTGCAGCCAATGAAACATCGCTGTATAAACAAGTGATATGTGCACATTAGCTTGTCAACTATTACAATGACTAGTTCTATTTTTGTAAAATTACTTTTTCTTTTTACTTTGCGTTTTCAAATAGCCCCAACAAAATATCTTCAAAGAAGTTGTAAGTTTCTTTTCTGTATTACTGCTGGAGTTAAAATTTAAGATTTCATCAGTGACACAAACTATTCATCATCATGATTATAACTCTCATGTGTAGCCTTTTTCGATTGGTCAGTAAAAGATAATCAATCATCCAACAGAAGTGTCAGAAGCTTTACACACACACACACACAACAAAATCAATAAGATATTTTAAATTTTAAATTTAATCACATGACATATCTAAATTTTAATGCATAATACGATTCCCATACTTAACTCGTTCATTAGTCATTTACGTGTATTGATCGATCAGATAAATCAATAAAATATATTGATTTTATTAAAATTTTTATCAGTTTAGCATTTTACTTACTCTATACTACTGGATGGTGAATTTAAATCCCCAATTGTAGTTAGTGTTAAAGTTGCCCAATAGAATGATTTTAAATATCTTCTTGACATTGTCACCTGTTCTAAGTCAGCATAAGGTTGATATCCCCATGGACTTTTAAATCCTTCATATTTTGATATCAAATAATAGAAGGCTGCAAACCAATGACAGCCTAAGAATAAAATATGTATTAAATTTAGCACTCTCCATATATTTGGAAATATAGTTCGATTCTCCACGCGTAGTTTCCATTCACGACAACGGTAGCATTTTAAAAATCTTGGAAAACGTAACATTGGTTGGACACCAAATTTAAATTGTAATAAATCCAATGGGATTAATGATGCAACATCCAGTAGGAATTGATAAGATTTTAAATAACGCATAGCTAGTTTTTGATGATCACGAACTTTTAGACCACATTTCAGGTAGCTTGTATTACATTGAACAAATATGTCAATAAGATAGGTGATATCAGCGACAATATCAAATGATAACCAAATTTTCTGATATTTTGATTGTAACTCATCAAATGCTTGACGAGCAATCGGTGTCCATAGATTATACAATAGTGCTAACGAGACAAATGTCAACCAGATGACATAACCTGTACTATGCGGATGAAAAACAATACACACTTGAGGCTTTTTATAGTAAGCTGACAGTGTAGAGCTTTTCGGATTACCCTTCTCACCATCCACTTCTACTTTCTCGGATTTTGATAATTCATCACTGAAATTTCTTTGGTTATTCATACAATGATTACTAGATGGCTTGGGTGGATGTAGGTAGAGTGACTCATCACCGTGTGATACACTGGTGTTATGCGTTAAAAGGTATTCTTTTTCAGGTGTATTAATCTCTTTATAACTACCAGAATATTTTATACGCTGACTACTGTCATCGATTCCACTGATTGCTGTTGTTGTTGTGTTTTGGGCGGTTATATTCTGTTCACTGTTAGCATAGTCAACCTTTTTATCAATATCTTCTAATCGATTCAATAGATTATCTGATGTTTTCAGTGCATACAACTGATCATTAAAGAGTGTATCATTTAAATATTCCTCTGCAGCATAAGTACCACGTCGTTGAGTTGAAAAACGATCCATAAATGAATCTCGTCTAGCTGTAATATTATAATTTGTTTTACGTCGACGTTTTACATGATCCATTGTCGCCAGTACAACTTTCATTGTACATTGAACATTTTTCCAATGACGTGATCCACTATTCAAAGGTGTTGAAGTTGTTGAAGAGGATGTGGTGGCACTTGTTATAGTTGTCGTAAGAGGAGGCTTATTTGAATCAAGTTTTACATTGGAATTTATTATACACTCTTTAGGTGTATTGTTAATGTCTAATGATGGTGATAATAATATACCACTCGGAGAATTAACTGTGCATAATTCCATCGATGGTGCATTGTTTAAATCTTCCCGTGAAGTTTCTCGGGGCTTTTCATCTTCGCTTAAGAATGATGCACAGGAAAAGTCAATAAGAGGAGGTATTGAGCTGTCGTTATCAGTAAATGATTTCTGTTGTATATTATTCTGTTGATATTCAATTCTCGAGGTTGAATGTGAACTGAAATTATTGTTATTCTGATTGTTATTATTATTACTGTTATTTGTAAAACATGGCACACTTGTCATTATTATAAGTATTATTTATTATTAATTCGAGTATTTTTTTATAGTAAAAAAAAAGAGATTTATTTACAATTTTGTTCAATTAATTCGAGAGTTTCGTCCATTTTGCAAACGGATGACGCGGTAAATAATTGTTTAAACAAAACGTTGTTCGATTTTCATTGGTTGAATAATGTCTTAATTTTGATTGGTCAATTTTGCATTGCAGTAGATTGTTGTACAATTAGACAAAAAATGTGTAAATCATGAAATCGAAATGTGTTAGCCCGTCATTCAACAATACTTGAATATGACACGCATACAAGAAAGTATTTTTAACAGTACGACATGTCTTCAAAAGGTACTGGAAAGCGTAAACAAATGCAGATGAAGTGGACACATGCTGATGAGACATCACGTGCCACTCAACCGCCTTGAGTGGAACCCCAAAGGATAAACAACGAGTAAGGCTTTGATCCAAGAGTGACATGGAGGAAGTGAAGGCCTTTGGGCAATCATGGAGCCAGATGAAAAGGACTGCCGGGAACAGAATTGGATGGAGATGTGTTACAGAAGTACTACTACTATGTTCCACTTGGAACCTAAGGGAATAATAATAATAGCGATAACATCTAGTTATTGATTAATACATTGAATATCTAGTGCGTATAGTTGCTTCGATAGTGCGATGAATGGCAGCATACTTGTCAGCTACGCACAAGGTCCGGGTTCGATTCCTAGCTGACGCACTACTAAGACTCGCTTAGCCTTAACTATTATTATTATTGTTTCCTTTAGTTTCTAGAGGAACATAGGCCTTCAGCCGCACGTTTCCACTGCATTGAATTCTTTGCCAACGTTTTCACCTGGATCCACGTCTACCCACATGCGTTCATCTCGTTTTCACATCACCTACTCCATATCATCCCACCCACACACTGACAACCAACTTACCTCTTCCCATTCGGTCAGGCAACAATTGGAAGTCTGCCTTGTAGCGTCACTTGATGCTTTGTTTTCTCAGAGTATGGCTAATCCACCTCCATTTCTTCCAGTATATTTCTTGAACAATCAGTTCCTGCTGGATTGGTTCATTCTTTGCAAGAGGCCCCTATTGCTGATCTTTTCTGACCAGACATCTGATCTTGAGCGAAGTATTGAGAGAAGATAGCTGTTTATGAGGGTCTGTAGCTTGTCTGAAGTACGCGTCGTGAATACAATAAAGGCGGAAGGTTGGGAGTGAGGCTAGCAGCAACCCTACTCCGTATAAGACTACATCACTCATGATGCAAAAAATTTTAAAAAATGAAACGGGAAAATATGAATTAGAAAGTTGAAAAGGACAATTGAATATCCGTAAACAAGAAGCCTTTAGACATAAAACTGCAGTTCAAGGGCGATATAACCAGCGAAATAATTATGAAGCGATTAAAAAAGTCGGTTCAAGGCACTTTCAATGCTAATAAATTACAAGTCTTATTTTCTATACAAATGGTTTGATTCCCCAGTTGAATGATGAAGTACCTAGACAAGCCACTCCTAATTGTATATACTAATCCACCTGCGCTACATCTACCCAAACTTTATAGACTTTGAGAAGGCCTTCAGAAGACAGCGTTGACCGCGAAGTAATTTGGAAACTAATCGAGTACTACGGCGCACCTCAAATTTTCATTAACCTTATTCAAGAGCTGCTGTACAACACTCGCACATGGAAAGTGATCCACAACGGAACACTCAGCGAGGTGTTTGGAGTAAACACAGGAGTCAGACAAGGGTGCCTATTGTGGTGGACTGGATTATGCGTCAGACAGTGGGAAACCAGAAGACAGGGATATCCTGGACCAACGTGAAGAGCCTAGAAGACGTGGATTTCGTGCGTGGATGATTTATGTTTGATTTCACACAAAATCGAAGACTTACAAACGAAAACGGACAAACTGGTCGAAGAAGCACCCGCAAAGACAGGATTTCAAGTGAAAACAGACAAGACGGAGGTTATGATAATAGCCAACTAACAACCACAACAACAGCAGCAACATCCAGCACCAGTCACCATCAACACAAAGGATTTGAAAGAGGTTAATTATTTCATTCACTCATTTATCTAGTATTGAGCATTGTCTCAATTACAGACATTAAAAACGGACGAGGATGTCAAATCGAGAATCAGGAAGGCGACCGAGAAACACATTCATCATCAACCTGAAACCAATCTGGAAATCTTCGTCACTTAGCCAGCAACAACAACAAAATTCAGTCGGATTTTCAATAAAATTAGCGTCAAGTCAGTCAGTTCTTCTATACGGATCAGAAACTTGGCGCGCGGGTCACAAAGAATATTTTCAACAGCCTGTTGCACACCTTTATCAACAACAACTGTCTTCGCTGGATCTATACTGAAGATCAGATAGATGGTCGGGCCGGAAAGAATCACCAACAAGAAACTATGGGAACAAGCAAAACCAGAACAAACCAATCGCCCAACAACAACAAAAATGCAGGAGGAAGTGGAGATGGATGAACTGGAGACTCACTCACTGAGGAGGTCGATGGGTGACATCGAGCGCGCGTCAGACCAATGCTTGAGTGGAACCGGGCCGAAAAGGAAGCAGCGAGCTGGTTGTCAGTGCAAGAGTGACATGGAGGAGATCGTGTGAAGAGTAGTTGGTTGAAACAGAATTAACTAACATGGATGGATGCAGGTGAAAAGTAGAGCAGAAGGAAGACAGAAGTGGCAAGTGGAGACGTGCAGTTAAAGCTGTATGTTCCACTAAGAACCCAAGAGAACAATAATAATAATCCACCTGCGCTTATGGAGAGAGTTATACTGGTCGTCGCTCTAGTAACTTGATTTTTCATCCTCGCTGGGGAACACCTATCTGTTTGGTTTAATTAAGGTGTACTTAGAAGCATCAATACCTGCATATTAGACCACCTGGTCCAAACCACCGGCAAGGAAGCCATCAGTGACGAATCCGTCTTCATCATCTACCGGGTACCGACCAAATAAACTGCCAGAACCATCGAGGTGCTGCATACTCCAAACATCAGAGACTATCGCGATTCACCTGAAACAATCAGTGCTTTGTGCGTGTGCAGAAGAAGAGGAAGCAAGTCCAGCTAACCACTACAACTGTCCTGGTCGGCCTTCAGTGGAGACTATCAATTCATGAATTCGTATTATTATCCTTCTAAATTTACCTGTCTGATATTCAATGTGTACTGTTATGTTGACACTATCGAACTGTAATCCATTGACACTATTATTACTGATTTGATGTTATTTAAACAAGATTAATGTTGTTGTTCATAACACTAATTCACTCGCTATCATGGATGGATATATACATATCTGTTGAACCTGATGAGGAGCAGGCAATCGAAAAGAATATTCTTTGTTCAGTAACCATTTTTTGAGAAAAAAAATATTTTTTTTAATGGACATTTTCAATCAATTAAAAATAAATTTCTCATTTTCTTAACTTCTCTTCAAGGCTACACACAGAGTGTACTGACAATATAGGTCAAAGGGTTATTGTCAATTAGTTATCAAAATAAATTAAAATATTTCAGAAATAATAATGTGTGAAATATGTTGGACGTAATCAAGAGAGGAAGAGAGAGAGAGAGGGAGAGAGTTGATAATCAGTTAATTAAGTGATGAATGATCATTTGGAAAATAATCGATAGGGAATAAGAGAACAACTGAATTGAATCGGTGATATAAGAATAAAACTTCTGCACTGTGGTAGAGTATAATTCCATTTATGATAAAGTCTCACAGTGTTATACAGTAATGTTTACTGATGACCATGTTTCGAGCACAATTTATTGCTCATAATCATATCAAGGTACCCACATAACTTCCTAGCCTCATTTATATAATTCCATTATTTTTCACTTGATTTGATTGGCAGTACTATTTTCCATATTTCACGTATGAGTGATGAATCACTCCTATTGCATTTGTTTGGTGTAGACTCGATGAACCAGGCAGGATTCAGTAATCAACCTCTCTCTCCACGTATCTAGATTACTGTTTAGAATTTTAACCCTATCCTTCCGTCTTATCTGGTTGTGTGTTAATGCATGCAGTGCAATTGCTGAGCATTTATCTAAATTACTTATCTTCTAGCGGTCAACCATTCTTACCGTAGCTAAATTATTATGTTCCGACAATCTGACTACCCCTGACCTACTATTGTGACCTATGTAATTGACCTAACTCACAGTCATTGCAGTGTATTTTGTAAATTATATTATTTTGCCTTATTGGGTCAACCTACAGGGTCTTCTAACCTACAAAGCTTGTCCCTGCCTGAGTGAGTTTGTAGGTTCGAATGCCACCCTAATTCCTGCTTTATTTAAAATCCTACGTAGGGTTTCAGATGTCCCTTCTTTATATGGTATAACTGTAGATGACATATTCTCTCGTATTTATGTTATTATTAATAGTTTCACAATTATTTTTATTTTTCGTTTGGCCTTTTTCGATCTTCCTAATGAATTTTAAAGGATAGTTATTTAACACCAAAGCCTCTTCTATCTGTTTTATTTCATCATTTAGGTCTTTTTCGTGCTACATAGTGCCACTGCTCGGTTTGTTAAACACTTAACTTAGCCTGCCTTAACAGATAACGACGGATGAGATGAATTAAAGTCTAAGTATCTATTAGAATGAGAATGCAATATGCATATATATGTATACCTTATTATTATAAGTAAAGCTTTTTATTATCTCATAAAACTACACTAGAATTAATCCTTGACTACTATGTTTATAATAGTCTAACACTTTCGATTTTATGAATAAATGACTGTCATTGAATAAATATTATATAATCTTAGACATACAAAGTATATATTGAAGTTGTTCAATTCAGACCTCGAAGTAGCCTCAGTTATAGAATCATTGAGAGCTGGATACTTAATATGCGAAGATTTCATCGCCACCTACTAGGTGACATCCTCACCTCAGCGCATAATTCAATTTGAATTGAAGTGAGCTTTTAGATTTCTCC